GTTGATTTCGGTAGAAAAACGAGCAGGAAGAGAAAGCATCAAATGCTGGCATTTTCTTATCCGCTCAGCCCTGGTCACTGTCCCGCACTTCCGGCACACCATATCTTCAGTTGCATCTGGTTCTTCCGTTACAATCAGCGGCTCATCACATTCCTCTGCGGTGCACCGCATTGCGGTCAAAACATCATCGGCTGGATCTGTACATCGTTCGCACTTACAGAGGAAATACCTGCAACAAACAAGCCTTATCTTAGGCTGTACTTCCAGGCCTAAAGCAGGCTACTGATAGCAAGAATCTTAGGCTGTACTTCCAGGCGTAAAGCAGGCTACTGATAGCAAGAAAAAGCGGCAACTGTCTCACTGTGATTCACTAAGTTGCTTACCATTTGCCCTTCAGCTCCAAGCGACGCTGATAGCGTGATCTGCCAATATCAATATAACTGATGTAAGCGGTCTTCGGGTCGGCGGCATTTGTTTCGGGAGTCAGCGGCCTGAGACAAGCACGGAACCCATCGAAAACAAGAGAGCAATTGGGGCGGCACGAGTGGTCGTACATCGACACTCCTTAAATGTTCGTTTTATTCGAAGCGTGCTATCGTTGGTCTTACTACAACAATTGTTACAGGCCTGTTATGGAAAAATTCGAGAACGAAGGTTTCACGAGGCGTGAAGATAGGCTGCTGCATGTCTTTCCGTAAAAATTTGGCTGGTAAGCATGGACTCAAGGCTACTAACCTAAATCAAGCGCCATGCCTATTTCATCGCCGGCACTGGTGTGAATCGAGTGAGAATTGATTACCGATTTACAAAAAACTTCAAAGAATTTGTCCTTCTCGATCACCTCATCCTTCCGGAACAATGCCATTTTCCCGTAAATTTTCTCGAAATGTGCATATCTGGGCTAAAAACGAACGAATTTGTTCAAGATAGATGTACTGTTCAGGGATTTTTTAAAACACTGGTTTTACAAACTTAGATTTTTTTTTTTTGAATAAAGCTGTGTTGCAATCCTTCAGCAATCCTTATCTCTGCAACTGAAAGCTTGTACCGCCAGAAAACCCGAGTGATTGATTATTATTGTAACTGATTATTAGTGATTGATTATTACAGATGATGGTCGCTCTGATAAGTATGGGAAGGGCAGTTGAGTCAAAGGACTAAATGAGCAGCCGATAGAATATGATAATTGCGTCATCCAGCACTTTTCCGGAAGAACAACGAGACAAGATAAGGAAATGAGGAAGTGTACGAAAATAAATTAAATCTTTCAAAATAAATAAGGAAATTAAAAAATTAGGTAGAATAGGCTAAATTAAATGAATAAACAGGAAAAGTTCAATAATGGAACAAGACAAGTTAAATAAACACATGAATCATATAAATAAGTGAATTAAATAAGCAACAGAAATTAATAAATGAAATAAAAATTGAAAAAAAATGAATTAAGTTTATTTAAATCAAAATAATTTAAACAAATTAAACAGAAAAAAATTCAAAATAAATTAAATTAATCAAAATAAATAAAAGCAAATTAAATTATTAAGTGAATTAAAATTACTGAATTTCGGAATTGGACTGCAAAAATTCAAAAAATAACAACAGTTTTAAGACCTCTCAGGAAGTGTTATGAATCATAAAAGTAATTGTCACCGGGTCATTTCGAACATCTTCTTGGTGTGACAGTAGATCGGTCCATTTCCGATTTTTCTCCCATCCACATTTGTCGCCATTTTGCTCCAGGAAAAGTACTCTGTCGATGATTCGGCTTAAGAACAACACCTCAGTGAGTGGCAAATTTGGAAAGACAGCTTCAAGTCGGCGACACTCCGCACGATGATGCTGCTTCCAAGCAAGACGCTGACAATTCTGAATAGCTTTGCTTTGCATGCACCCTTTGCAACATTAGTGGTTGCAATTAGCAAAAAGAATTTTTAGGATTCCTTGTTAAAATACTTCTAAAACACGAAGTCCCAGCTTATTATGTTTTAGAAAAATCAAGGAATCCGTAGTATGAGCAACGACGTTTATATCTACCCAAGGTCATCATTTGGCTGAAAAACTCTTATTGGCTCTTTTCTCGAAAACTGCTCGATAAGCAAACTGGAGCACTCCATTCTTGATTTTTCTTAAGCCGAATTCTGAAAAATTATCCTGTAAGACGAATTTGGCGTCTTAATTCAATTTTACTGCGTTCTGACGTTTTACCTCCCAGGAGCAGGAGTGAGAGAAGACGTCTCTCATTTGTCCTGCCTCACCCCATCTCTTTGAATAACCGGCTTAGGGAGCAGCCAAGAGTAAACAAGAAATACCTTATTGCAGTATCTGGCAAAATTACACTTGTTGCATCTGTACAGTTTGTTGTTAGCGGGCTTCCTGAGGCAATAGGAACAATATGTTGTTACTTGATTGTTCATACAGATGTAGGCAAACGGCTCTTCGAAATAACGCAGTCGTTGAAAAATGCTTAGCATCGGTTCAACGCTGCTCATCTTTCCTGAGTATTCAGCACGATTATTCATTACAATTTTACGGAAACAGCAAGAATGTAGTTAACAAAGAACGTTATTCCGAAAGTAGATATTTGCGAGCAGTGAAATATATTAGAAATTTTAAAGACTCAGGTTGTTAGCATATGAAAATTAATAGTTTAACCAACATTATGAGGTTTTAGTCCATGAAGTTCCACACGTTTTAGCTCAGTTCTGCAACTGGG